TAGCCCTTTAGTTGACTCCGGGCTTCACAGAAAGTAAGAGGAACATCAAAGTGGCAAAAAGTCGAGAGGGAGGGAGAACAGAATAATGATTCAGACGTAAAAGAGACAGACAGACACAAAGGTAGAAAAAAGGTGAGGTGAGTATTGTGGAATGAGTCGAATATGAAATGCAGTGGGGTCTTAGTAGTTTGAAGTCAGAAGTCAACTGCCGATTAATAGACTTTTTTGCGGTATGAGTATACGTTGCCCAGGGTGCACCACGTGGAGGTAAGTCTATCTCACACCCCAGATGGTTCGAGTAAGTGTATGGTTGTTCGAAAAAAGAGATTGCCAACGAGTGAGTTGCGTGAAGTGTAGAGTACTCTCAGTGCAAAGGAGAGATTGAGTCTCTGCTAAACGAAAGTAGTCAGGGGGTCTGACGGCCACCCGTCCAAGTAACGGCGTGCGTGCATGCTATGACGTGCCCCACGTATGTTTTCTGGGATTAGATGATATTTTAATGGGTGTAAGATAGACTTACCTCCACGTGGTGCACCCTGGGCAACGTATTCCCATACGGCAAAAAAGTCTATTAACCGGCAGTTGACCTCTGACCCCACTGTATATCATATTTGACCACTTCCACAGTACTACATCACAAATTTTCTAAATTTTCAACCTTCGGCTTTGAAACACTCTTCTGTTCCCCTCCTCTCGACTTTTTTTCAATTTGATGTTCCTTCCCCTCTGTGAAGCCTGAAGTCAACTATAGGGCTAGTAATAACTATCAAAACGCCTGCCATTTGATATAAATAAATAAATTTTAATATTTTTAATATTTCGTTTCATTGATAAAGGGGGGGGGGTGTTTATTAACCGTTTTTGTTTCGGTAGGTTGACCATATAATAGGTTTAATATTTACACTAGGCTACAAGACTTTTTAATTGCATTAATATTTGTTATATTTGTGTTAATTTTAATTTACAGTTCATTATATACAGAAATCATAAATGGTAGGCTTCATCCATAAGGTCATTATAAATGCGGAAACTGAGTAGATGCATTATGGTCATGTGCACTGCAGAGGTGCGAATGAATGGCCTTTGGGAGAAGGGAGGGGGGTGTGAGGGAGGCCAATTGCATGGAAAAGTGCATTATTAACCAAGTAGAACGCAACCAGTAAATGAAGATGCTTCACTATTACTGTAACCGACTAGGAGTGATAAAGTATTGTGAAATCGATCAGTTTTTGTAGTCAGAATAACCAAATATTTTAGAAATATTGATTCGAGCATTTAATTCCTGTTATGTGGTGAACTTATCAAGCTGTAGCTGCGCAAGTGTGGGGATGGTGGCGGCAATTCCGAATGCACCGATTGTGGGTGGAGGATAGAATGAATTGTGGAAGGAAGCACTTATTGCATCATTAGACACGTAGCAGATAAATTTTATTTGCCACTGTGTGTACTATGGTCGTGGATATTGCCACTATTTAAATGCCATATTGCCTTAATGAAATACAATTGAGGAAGTATAGCTACCTGGTTGGTTGGTTGGCTGGCTAATTCTGCCCAGAGCCCTCGTTCACCGTCAGTCTCCTGGTCACCATCACGGGTCTCTTGCCTGCTCCTGTTGGTAGGAGTGGATTGAGAAGTCGGCGTGAATGCAGGAGGCTGACGTTACCACCCAGGACCACGTGGAGGTGAGGGTTGGAGTTTCCTGGGTAAGGAGGCGCAGGCACTGCCCAGGTGAAGAAGTTGGGCACGCACTTGAAGCACGCTCGTGCCTGCTCGTACCTCCAACCCCCCACACACAGCAAGCACCCTTTTGTTGCTGTGGTCTTATAGCCTCTGCACTCCTATGACCATGATCCCCCACCCATGACACCCAGGCCATGCGTGTGTGGCCTAGCTTCGCCTATTCGAGGGCGCTTAGACTTAGAAGCCTCTATTATCTTCCCTTTTAAGTGCATCCTAGTGGGTGTGCTTTGTACTACCAGAGTATAGGCTATAAAAAGTGTGCCTAGGAGTGGAAGAATCGTGGAGGAATGGGAATAATAGTGGCAGCAGGATGAATGTATGCTAGTTGAGAGTGAGGTTGCTTAGAGGAAGGGGCTAGAGGAGCAAAAGCATATAGCGAGATTATATCTCCAAAAATGACTAGAAAAAATTGAAATGGAGATGAGGTAAGGGGAGGGGAGGGGAGGTGGGGTGAGGGGGACTAGTTAATCACACAGTCCTAATGAGTAAGCTATGGGGAAGGTAAAGGTGAGAATAAAATTGATAACTAGAAGAGGGTGGGCTAGTGGAATATCTGGTAAATGGGCAGGAAAAAGATGGCAAAATTAGGGTATATATAAATATAAGTAAGACCTATGAGAATGTGTGCATTACCAGAGGAGGAGGAGGAGTAGATATGCCAGAGTATGAATGCTTATTGCTGGAATGGCTTTGATGAAAGTTGTCCTCAACTGTGTGGATTTGAAATCCTATTCTCTAGTACCCTCTGGTGCATGTTGGTGCAGAGAAAGGAAAATTTAGAGTTAGCATTGAAAGGCTAAAACTGGATAAGGAATAAATATGAAAGAGGAGATTTTTTGTCCTTTATATTTTTATAGTTTTTTTTGCTTATTTCGTAGTTTTATAATTTTTTTGTTTTTTTTCATATTTTGTAAATATTTTAATGATTTTCTGGAATGAGGGGAAAGAGGCGATGGAAAGGAGGGCAGCCGAGAAGAGACCGAAAGATGAGATGACCTGAGCTGAGCTGTTGAAGGTCACTTGGGTTTGCACGTGCCTTTCCATCGCAGACGTTTCTGCTTGGAAAGTGTGTCACCCTGCCCATTCCCTTTCCGCTCTTTCTTCAACTTACCTCTCAATATAACGAGGAAAAGTCTTAAAGACTTTTCGAACACCTCGAGTGCTTGTTCAAGCCTCCTCTGTAAGATTCTGCTCTCCACCATGATGTCCTCAATAAAGGTGGGAGAGATTGCAAAAGTCTCCCCACAGAACTCTTCCAGTGACATCAACTTCTCCCCTTGTATGTGGTCGCCGTCTCCGTAAGCCACTTCCTTACCTTCTTCTCTATGAAGGTCATCTGGGTGTTCAACTTCCCCTCCTATTTCTCTCACTCTGCTGTCCTCCTCTTCCTCATCCTTCTCCTCCTCCTCCTCTTCTTCTTCTTCTTCTTCTTCTTCTATTGTGCTCAACTGGTCGCCTCGAAACCTCCTAAATTGCCTCTCTAACTTCT